CTCCTCTCCTCCCCTCTCCTCTCCTCTCCTCTCCTCTCCTCTCCTCCCCTCTCCTCTCCTCCCCCTCTTTTCACCTCCCCTTTCCTCCCGTCCTCTCCGCTCCCCTCCCTTCTGTGGTTCCTCATTGGGTGGGGACCTCAGACCACAGCTGACCCAGTAGGTAGGATGTGCCCTCCCATCTGTCAACAGCCCTTGTAACCTAGTGGCTGGCTGGGTTGGGGGAAGGAAGAAGGGCAGGCAGGAAGGGGGGCGGGCAGTTTCTATACCTGCAGCTGCCCTGGCCTGGCCCAAGACAGCTGGGCTTTTGTAGGTGTATGAGGCCTCCCGGTGGGTGGGTTGGGCCACACTGCAGCACCAGGAGTGGGTGGAGTCTGGTGGCGCAGTAAGAGAAGAGCCCAATGCCTGGCATTGGTTAGGAGAGTGGACTAACCTGCTCAGCTACGTTAGAACCTTCAGGGTTTGGGTTAAAGACCCTGTGTCTCAAAGTCCTCCTGGAGTTGATCCCCAAACAGGACTCCCGCAGGTGCTTTTTGTCTCAAGATCCGATGCTATTGGCCAGTTCATAATCAGCACAGAGGGGAAGGGTGTGTTAGAGTCAAGTCTCAGGAATGTCCAGGGGCTGGGCAAACAGGCATGGTACATACATAGGCGGTTCAAGATGGGGGAAGTTTATGGGTATTGGCCCTTGGTGGGCTAGCCATTTTGGATAGAAAACAAAAACGTGTTTCTCACAGCCAGTACCTGGGAGGCTGAGGCAGAAGGATTATAGCAAGTTAGAGGCTAGCCTAACCCACATAGTGAGCCCCATCTCAAAAATAAGTAGGGTGGAGAGGTGGCTCAGTTGGTAAAGTGTTTGCCCGGCAAGCAGAGGACCTGAGGTCAGATTCCTCAGAACCTACGTTAAAGACGGCAGGCATGCAGTGCGTGCTTGTAATTCCAGCACTGTAGAGGCTGAGACAGGAGGATTCCTGGGACTCACTGGCTAGCCAGCCTAGCCTATCTGGTGACTCCTAGGCCAGTGAGAGACTTTATCTCAGTAAACAAGTTGGATGGCTCCTGAGAAAGGACACCTGAGGTTCACCTCCAGCCTCCACATACCTCCACCCCCACCCCACCCCAGGAATGCACACATAAATAAATACACAATGGTAAGGACCATCTGAGACTCTACCAGTCACTTTTTGAAAGGGGAACAACTATTTGCTTACTTCAAATATCGGAGCCCCACAGGAGGGTCTTCACTCACACCACAGGAATCTTTGTTAAAACATCATCTATAATAACACAGAATGACATTAAGCCATGGACAGCACAGTGCTGCAAATTCAAATACATGTAGTCCATGCTAAGTGGGCTTTGGAGGCCATGGTGTGCCTGGCTGTAACGTGAGTGGCTGCCATAAAATCTGGTTTACTCTGGGCCTTTGTAAACACTAGGGGCCACTTCTGGGTACTCCAGGAAGGACTGTGTGGCTCTCCTTTCACATCCTGTAATATAGGGTCCTCCTGGCTGGGGGGCAACTTGGTAGGAAAAACAGGTGACTGTGGGAGTGACCCCTGGGTCTTCTAGAAGCCAGTGGAACAGGGCGCTGACACTGGCGCCCATTATTGCTGTTCTTCTTCCCAAGGGGCTCTTTCCAGAGCTCCAGATAGCTCCTCTGTAGCTCCCATCTTTCAGAGTCCCTGTCTTGAGACTGTAGGGTAGGTGAGGCATGACCACTGTAGAGTTCAGGGCTCAGCCAGGGTGCAGACCAGCTTAGGCGTGGCCCAAGCAGAGCCTCAGGGGTGACCTAAGCATCCAGTGTGCCAAGCCACCTACAGCAGAGTCTTCAGCTTGCTCACCACCTGGTTTTGCTCACTCCTTAACATCTTTCTCCACTTGCATGAAAGGAGGATCCAGGCAGCCTCGAGGGCCCCAGATGGGCCTGGAACCACCTAGAATCCCTTCCCCTATTACTCTGTGCCTAGAAGAAGAGAATGGAGCCAGGTTCTTTGCTCAGGTGGCCTTACTGTGTCTTCTCAAAGTGGTGGGGACCCCAGGCCATTCCCCGCAAGGCCAGGTCTAACCTTACCTTCTCTTTCCTGAGCCCACCAACAGGGCCAGGGAGCCATGTGTGGCAGGACCACCTAGCGACATACCCTTTGGATACCTTTGCATTCCACCTTCTGCTGTAACACCTTCTCTAGGAGGAAGTGGTATGTCCGAGGAAGTTACTGTTCCGCCTGCTGCCTACCACAGGACACCCTGGGGTATGACCCACTCCCAGTAGAGGGCAGTACTGGCCCTCTGAAGTCAGGAAGAGGCCCAAAGCTGCATGTTCAGCTCCAAAGAGATGGCCCAGATCCACTTTGGTCCTATGATAGATCCTGTGCTGACGCCAGGCTCATTGCTGGCTGCCCAGATCTCCAAGATGCTGTGTGTGTGTGTGTGTGTGTGTGTGTGTGTGTGTGTTCTATGTATGTGGGTATTTGTGTGTCTCTGGGTGTGTTTGTATATATTTATATCTGTATGTATACATTTGTGTGTTTTCTGTGTGTGTATTTATGTGTATATATGTATTTGTGTGTGTTAGTATGCATTTACATTTGTGCGTATATTTGTATATGTGTTATGTGTGTTTGTGTGTATCTGTGTGTATGGTTTTGTATGATGTGGGTTTGTCTTTGTATGTGTGTCTGTGTATATGTGTGTGTTTGTATGTTGTGTGCTTGTGTGTGTTTCTTGTATTTGTGTGTATCTCTCTCTTTGTTGTGTGCATATGTCCCTGTGTGCCTCTCTCTCTCTCTCTCTCTCTCTCTCTCTCTCTCTCTCTCTCTCCTCTGTGTGTGTGTGTGTGTGTGTGTGTGTGTGTGTGTGTGTGTGTGTGTGTGTGCACTGACCCACAACAGGGCACTTACTGCTGGAGTATTACTACTTCCTTTTTGTTACTTCTTCCTTCATCTAATAATGAGTTAGTTGACTAAAAACGGTTCTATCCAAAAGAGATCCAATGGCCAAAAGCTGGAGATTTTGAATAGTGTTTGGTTTCAATTAAAACAAAAAGGCACCTGCCACCAAGCCCGACAACCTGAGCTCAATTCTGGGTGTCACACAGTAGAGGGAGGGGACTTCTGCAGGTTGCCCTCTGACAGCACCTCCATCCATGTGCTGTGGCACAGCCCCGCCCCCACAGTGAATCCATACCAATAAGGTAAATGATAGACTACTCAATGAATGAGGACGAAGAAAACAAATGTCCCATCCAGAAGAATCCCAGAGAAACCATGCCAAGACTCCACCCTCCTCCTGAAGGCTGGCCAGATCTCATCACCAGAAACCAGAGCCTCTTCCTTCCTGAGAAGAGAGAGAGGCTCCGCATAGTGGAGGCCTTGCAGGCAGCCCAGCCATGACACCCAGGGACAAGCCATGTGGATGGTGGGGACCTGTGGTGGAAGGTTAGGAAATGGCTGTCTTCTTCCATAACCCATGACCCCATCTAACACTGAGAAAAATGAGACATTCCCCAACTTGGGGTCCTGCAGGACACCTGAGGAACCACCTCAGAACTCATGGTCACGTCAGGGACAATGAGAAATTGTTCTAGCCCAGAAGAGCCTTAGGAGGCAGGATGTAGGTCATGTGGGATCCTGGATAAGCCTTGGGGCCAGAAAAGGACAGGCAGGGACACAGGAGATGGCTTTAATTGACAGCAATATATCAATCCTGGATGACAGCTGCCCCTCATCAACGTCACATGTTGCTGAGAAACATATTTTGTTTCCTGGTTCAAAGTTCCTACCACATATGTCCACCCTGTAGTCTGCATGTGACTGAGGACAGCTGCCTAATCTATGTGTGGCTGAACATAAAATTTTGAGTGTACTGAGAACATCATGAGACTTTCTTTTCACAATTTTGTGTGTGCACTCACACACATGTATGGCCAAAGGTCAACTTTAGGTTTCTTCCTTGATCACTCTCCAATTTCTTTTTTTCTTTTAGATTTATTTTTGTTTTATGTGTATGGGTGTTCTGCCTGCACGTGTCTCAGGAACACCATGTATGTGCAATGCCTGAAGAGGCCAGAAGAGGGCTCAGATCCTCCAGAACGGTGTTAGTCGGCTGTGTGCCTTCATGAGCATCCTAGGAACCAGGCCTGGGTCCTTGGGAAGAGCCTCCAGTGCCCCTAACTGCTGGTCTCTCCAGCCCCTCACAGCTCACTTTTAAGGTGAGTGCTGGGATCAGACTCAGATTCTCATCATACACTGACCACTTTACTAACTGAGCCGCCTTTCCGGTTCTGAGGGGTGGGGGGTTGTTTTTGTTTTTTTTGTAACTCGACTGTGAGGGTTCTACACATGAACCTTGTAGGTGACAGTATTGTGTCACGATGTCTAGAGGCTGGACACACCGAAAACCCTTTGGAATCTCCAGTGTGACAGGAACATCCTTCACGGGCTGGCTGGTGGTTCTGGCATCCAGGTTGCCTCAGGGTGGGGCTGCACACCAGGAAGTTCAAGACAGGAGGGAGGGTTTGGGAATCTCAATCCTACCCCTTCCCCCTGCCTCCACGGAGGGGAGAGCGGGAGAGCGGGAGAGCGGCTGGAGGCCAGTGATGACGTCAGCCCGTCTGCACCTTAAAGACACAATTAAAAGGAAAGGACACTGCAGGAGTATCCAAACAGCTGACCATGGGTGTGTGTGTGTGTGCCAGAGGGCAGTGGACCTGAAAGTGACATGGGGGCATCCCCTTCCAGGTACTCACCCTGAGGCGTTTCTGGTGTGGTATCTGTGATCACCCTTCATCATGGCCTTTATAATAAAGTAGTAGGCAGAGGTGGGCCAGCACTCCCCTTGAGTTCTATGGGCTACTCCAGTAAGTGGCCCAGACCAAAGGAGGGGCCTGCAGGAACCCGCAACATACAGGTCACAACCTGGAGCTGTGATTGGCAC